CGGGGCTTAAACTCAGGAACCGTGAGATACATGACCTGAGCTGAAGTACGACTGAGCCACCCAGGTACCCCTAAATATTTATTTTTGAGACAGAAAGAGCGCATGTGTGCAAGTGGGGGAGGGGAAGAGAAAGAGGGAGAATCTCAAGCAGTGCAGAGCCCAAGGCGGGGGGGGGGGGGGGGGGGAGGCAAACTCACAAACCGTGAGATCATGATCTGAGCCAAAATCAAGAGTCAGTCGTTTAACCAACTGAGCCACCCAGGATTCCCTGTTGCCTTCCATTTAAAAGCAAGACAGGAACATTAAATTTGTTATGATTAAAATTAGTACAGGTAAACCACTATCAGATATATGAAACGCTCCCTTTTAGGGGTACTGTGCCAGAGACCATGACCAAGTGTACTGTTCAACAGGAGCACCCATATTTCATTCTCCACAAAAATACTACTGAAATCTCAGAAAACATTAGTCCTTTCTTGTGCAGTGAACAGGACTTGAAGAGGCTCTAAATTACAAGCGTACGCCAACAGCTGTTTGCTTTTCCTAACACAGGACAAGCTGCTTCCCCTTCCCTGCCACCATCACCGATATTCTAGTTCAAGGAGATATTCAGAGACACAGTGAATTATTCACTTTGCAGAAGTTGCTTAGTCCTTGAATTAATATATTCTGGGAAGCACGTCTGCTTTAGCCCCTATGACTCTGTTACTTAGAATGAAATCTTCCTAATTTAATAGTCAATTTGCATGCATGTATGAATGCATGGATTTTAAAAGCAACTTTAGGATTAAGAGGATTTTGTTGTCTTTATTTGCATAATTTAAAGTTGATTACTCAAAGAAATTTTGGATCAATTTTAAGAATGGTAACAAGGCAAGAATCTAAGGACAATACATTCTTTAGAACCAAGAATCTAAGGATAATACATTCTTTAAAATCAAGTCAGTAAATGGCCAAATAAAGGATGTGTTTATCATGAGTCTCAGCTGCGGACTTATCATCTGTATCATCTTTCGCTACTATTGGCTAAGCTCTGCCTATCTTCCAGTTATTTACCCATTTCCGTTCATTCCTTAAAATATTATGAAATGTTACATACAAAAGAATATTTGTAATATAAGTAATATAAAAATAAAGCACAATAAGATGACCACCTGTGAACCTATCATCCAGCTGACTAGATTGTTAGTATTATTGAAGCTCCCTGTGTGTCCCTCCTCAAGCACATGGCCATCTCTCCTGCCTCCCTGAAATACGGTGCTGTGCTCACAATTCCCATGCTTTTTTAAATCCAAGTTATGGTGTCAGGCAATATATTCAAAATTTGGCTTTTGAATTTTATGTACTTGGACCTGTATTATATGCATTCCTCTGTAACTTATTTTTCACTCAACATAGTTTCTGAAATCATCCATGTTGATGTGTATAGCTCTATGTTAGTAATTTTCATTTCGGCATAGTGTTACATTGCATAAATAAGCTATAATTTATCAGTTCTCTAGGCGACGGGCATTTTCTCCACTGTTTTTTATTACTTTGAACAGTTTTTTTTTTTTCCACATTTTAAAAGTAAGCTCCACGCCCAACGTGGGGCTTGAACTCACAGCCCCGAGATTAGGAGTTGTATGCTCTATCAACTCAGCCAACTAGGTGCCCCTACTGTGAACAATATGTACATGCTTCTCAGCACATATCTACAAGGGTTTCTTTGGGTGTGTACTCCAGGAGAAATTGATTGTTCATAAAGTTATATAATTATACATGTAAAAAAAATTTATATACACACAATTGTATGTATTTATATTATGTATATATACGTATACACGCAATTGCTATGTGTAGAATTGTTATATATGTATATTATGTAATTCCAAAAGTGGTTGCCAATTTATACCCCCTCCAACAGTGTATAAATGACATTGCCTTTTAATTTCTCACCCATCTAAAGAGTACACAAATGTTATCACGATATGGTTTTAATTTGCATTTCCCTGAGTATTCTTTCATATATTTGTTAGCTGTTTATATTTTCTCTTCTATGAAAAGCCTATCTTTGTCTTTTGGCCATATTCTTTTGGTTGATTTGTTTCCTTCTATTTGATTTTTAGGAGCTCTTTGTATATTCTATATACAAATTATTTCGTGACTATATGTAAGGTACTTATCTTTATGTTTGATGCTTGTCTTTTCACTCGTGGCACTGCCTTTTTTAATTAAAAGGTTTTTTTTCAATTTTTTAAATGTTTTTATTTTATTTTTGAGAGAGAGACACAGTGAGAGTAGGGGAGGGGCAGAGAGAGATAGAGACACAATCTGAAGCAGGCTCCAGGCTCTGAGCTGTCAGCACAGAGCCCGACATGGGGCTTGAACTCACAGACTGCAAGATGATGACCTGAGCCGAAGTCAGACGCCCAACTGACTGAGCCACCCAGGCACCCCTAAAAGTTCTAAATGTTAACAGTCGGGGGGCGCCTGGGTGGCTCAGTTGGTTGAGCGTCCGACTTTTGATTTCAACTCAAGTCATGATCTCATAGTTTCACGGATTTGAGCCCTGTGTCAGGCTCTGTGCTGACAGTGTGGAGCCTGCTTGATATTCTCCCTCTCTGCCCCTCCCCTGCTCTCACTCTCTCTCAAAATAAATAAACAAAGTTAAAAAAATTTTTAAACAAATTTATGAATCTTTTCCTTGGAGACTGATTGCTTCCCATCGTGGGGGTCGAACTCACAACCCTGAGATCAGGGGTCGCATGCTCAACAGACTGAGCCAGTCATGTGCTCCTTTTTTCCTATTTATTACGTACTATGTTTCATTAAAGTCTTTTTTTTTTTTAAGTTTATTTATTTTGAGAGAGACAGCGCATGCACAAGTGGGGAAGGGACAGAGAGAGAAGGAGACAGAATCCCAAGCAGTGCAGAGACTGTTGTGGGGGGGCTCAAACTCCTGAATCGCAAGGATGATGACTTGAGCTGAAGTCCGACGCTTAACCGACTGAGCCACCCAGGGGCCCATGTTTCATTAAAGTTTTAAGAAGATTGCTTCATAAAGATCCTACATATCTAAGATTTTATTCATTTACACTTTTGATGCTACTATAAACAGTATCTTCTAAATCACATTTTATCTGTTGCTGGCATGTAGAAACGCAACTGCAAACTTGCTAAGTTCTATTAGTTCTTATAATTTATAGATTCTTTTTTTCCACAGAATCATACTGACAATTTCGTTTCTCCTCTTCTGTATCAATTTTCCACTGGTGTATGACAAATAACGTCAAACTTAGTGGCTTACAACAACATGCACATTATCTCCCAGTTTCTGTGGGTCACTCAGCTGGGTCTCTCTTCAAAGTTTCACAAGGCTGCAAGCCAGGCGTCAGCTAGGCTGTGTGCCTTTGCAGAGCTTAGGGTCCTCTTCCATGGTTGTTGGTAGAATTGTTATTGGAGGCTGTAGAACGGAGATCCCCATTTCGCGGCAGGCTATCAGCGGGAGGTTGCTCCCAGCTCCTGGTGGCCCTGCAGTTCCCCGCCATGTGGCCCATGCATAGGCCTTTTCACGATATGGCAGCTTCTTCAAAGCCAGTAGAATTCTCACTCGGTTGGCTAACAAGGAGTCTTACGTAATGTACTATAATCACAAGAGTGACTAATTCTTTCGCTTTTGCCACAGAACATAACCCAACGAAGGGAGTCACCTTTACCATAGTCTATTTGCTAGAAGCAAATCTCAGGTTCTCTCCACACTCCACTGTGAACTGAAGTCTCTCATAAATTGTAAAAATTTTGCATCCATGAACTATCCAAAGACAAATTCTGACCCATTTCTTCTTTTTTTTCTCCTTCTGGAAATCTGATTGCACAAATATTACTTTTTTTTACTTTTTTAAAAGTAGGCTCCATGCCCAACATGGGCCTTGAACTGAGATCAAGAGTCGCATGCTCTACTTACTGACTGAGCCAGCCAGGTGCCTAACAAATGTTGCCTTCTTATACCAATCTTTACCTTGCTTTCATACTTCTTTTCTCTTTTCTTCTCTCCACTACATATGGATTTCTTGAGATCTATTTTCCAGTATCTAATCTGTTGTTACACTTCTTCACTAAATTTTTTTTCCAAAATCCAATCACTTTCGTCTCTTGCTCTATACTTTATCTTATATATAGTTCATAGTATGAATATTTAAAGGCTTTACAAAGTCTGCTTTTGTTATCTGTTTCTGCTTGTGTGCAATCACGCTGCTTTGTTTCCTTATATGTTTTATAATTTGAATCCTGAGTTTATGATGGGTTCCTTCACAGGATTTTCATTTGCCGGGGGCCTGAAACACTACTAGGCTGGGGCTGCTGTAAACTAAATTCTGGTTTTGAGTCTTTTAGAATCTGCAATCCTTTGAGTTGTATGAAATTGAGTCACAATGCTAAGCACCATAATAGAAAAATAAACAGTTCTAAGTTTGGCATGAAGACCTAAAGGGCTAGAGGGGGTTAGAATAAGCTGTTTATTTTTACAAGGTTGCTTCTCGCTGGTGACCCAGACTTACACAAGGGTCATTAATTTATGGTGAAATATGTAAAAATATATATGTATATATATTCAAATATATAAAACATATGTGTATGTAGATATACATATTCACAGCATATAAACCTGTCTATAAATCATCTCAATTGTTACAGCATCCTGACATCATCAGATATGTGGTTAATAATATTTCAAAGAAGTATGGTCACTGAAAAGAAAAATGTTGGAGAAAGCAGCCTTAAACTTATTACTAATTCTAAGATATTCTTCTTGTTAAGAATTACTAGTTGATTCTGTGAATGTTGACTTTTCTTCATGCAAGAATATTCTTCATTTACTATTATATACTTTTAAGAAATTTAACATTTATACCATTCAAATCAGATGTAATAATTAACATAATATAGGAAAACTTCTAGTAAAATTATTTAATTTAGTTATAGTATCTACCTCCAGCTTGAAACAAAAATTTCCATGGTCTTCAATTGAAGTGTATGCCACTTTCTTTTAGAATGTCTTGTTTTTCATTAAAATAATTTCTAAACCACTCTATATGTTCAACCTTCTGTTTAACACTCAGGTATGGATTTTTGGAAAGGCCACAGGTCACCAGCTCCATGAAGTGGCGAATTGGTCCTTGTTTTGGAAAATCTTCCAGATATTTATCCAGAAATACATGTTCATGAAATTCTGAACCATCATCATCAAAACCTAGGAAATGAGATAAAAATACATTACGATTTTCATGTAAAACCTCTCTCATAAAATTAAGATTAACGGGTTTACAGTTAAAGGCATGAACTCTGTAGTAAGACCTGGGTTTTCCCACCAATTTAACAACCGTGTGATTGTGCAAATTAAGTAAAGTTCTCCGAGCATCAGTTTTCAGGTATAAAATGAGGATTAAAATAGAACCTTCCTCAAGGGGTTTCCGTAAAGATTACATAGACACAAAGCTTATAAAACTCTTTTATAAGGCTTAGCATATAATACATGTTTAAAGGGTAGCAGCAGTTACTGCTAGTGAGTATTTTAATACCTAAAGCAACTACTAAGAAAACCATATAATTAAACTAAAAAAATTTTACATAAACAAAACAAGATAGAATCCTAAAACATGTTCAAGCAGCCCACAGGAAGCTAAAAAAAAAGAGGAATGAGAAATGGAGAAAATGAACAGAAGACAACTAATAAAATGAGACACTTAAGTCCTAACAAATCAATAATTACTGTTTTAAAAAAGATTTTAAGATTTATAATAAGTGGGGCTTGAACTCACAACCCCCAGATCAAGAGTCACACACTCTACCAACTAAGCCAGCCAAGCACCCCAATCAATAATCACTTCAAATGTAATGGTCTAAATACACCAATCAAAAGACAGAGATCGGCAGAGTGGATATAAAAACATACATGCAACTGTGTGCTTTCTATAAGAAGCTCACTTCAAATACAACATAGGTAGGTTGAAAGTAAAAGGATGAAGAAAAATATATCCTGTTAACGTTAATGTTTAAAAAAAAAAAAAAGAAAGCATGAGTGGTTATATGATTATCACGTAAAATAGACTTCAGAGCAAAGAAAATTACTGGGGAGAAATAAAAACATTACATAACAAATGGGTCAATGCACCAAGAAGATACAGTGCTCTGAATTATGTATGCACCAAACAACAGAGTTTCTAAATATGTGAAAGAAAAAAATGATAGAAATGAAAGAGAAATAGAAAAACCCAGTGATAGTTGGGCATTTCAAAAGTCCACCGTCAGCAATTCTGAGAACTGCACAATAGAAAATTAGCCACGACAGAGAAGAAGTGAACAATGTCAACAAACGGTATCAAACTGACATCTACACAACACTCCACCAAACTATTTCAGAGGACAAATTCTTTTCAAGCATTCACGGAACATTCACCTAGCTAGACCACATCCTAGGTCACAAATGAAAATAACTGGAGTAATACATAGGAGATTCTCTGATCATAATGGAATCAATCCAGAAATCAGTAAGAGGAAGACAATAGGAAACAGTTAAAACTTAAATATACTTAAAAAGAACTCATAGGTCATAGAAGAAATCTCAAAGATAATTAAAAAAAAAAAACTCTGAATGAAAATGAAAACACAACATATCACAATTTGTGGGACACAGCTAAAGCAGTCCTAAAAAAGGAAACACACAGCACTAAATGCACTTACATAAGAGGAAAAGTCTCAAATCAATCATCTTTTTAAATTTTTTTTTTACGTTTATTCATTTTTGAGACAGAGACAGAGCATGAATGGGGGAAGGCCAGAGAGAGAGGGAGACACAGAATCCGAAACAGGCTCCAGGCTCTGAGCTGCCAGCACAGAGCCCGACGCAGGGCTCGAACCCATGGACCGCGAGATCATGACCTGAGCCGAAGTCGGATGCCCAACCGACTGAGCCACCCAGGTGCCCCCAAATCATCTTTTTTTTTTTAACGTTTATTTATTTTTTTGGGAGAGACAGAGTGTGAGTGAGGGAGGGGCAGAGAAAGAGGGAGACACAGAAATCGAAGCAGGCTCCAGGGTCTGAGCTGTCAGCACAGAGCCCGACAGAGGGCTCAAACTCATAAACCGTGAGACCATGACTTGAGCCAAGTGGCCCACTCAAATCAATAGTCTAAGTTCCACCTCAAGAACCCACCAAAAGAGCAAAATAGTCCAAAAGCAAGCAAAGGAAGGAAGTAAACATTTAAAATCGATAAAATTGAAAACAGGAAAATAGAGAAAAGTCAGTGAAACAAATACTTAGTTCTTTTTAAAAAAATCTTTATTTTTGAGAGCGACAGAGAGAGTGCAAGTGGTGGAGGGGCAGAGAGAGAGGCAGAGAGAGAATCCCAAGCAGGCTCCTCACTGTCAGCGCAGAGCCAGACGTGGGGCTCGATTTCAGGAACCATGAGAACACGACTCGAGACGAAATCAAAAGGCAGATGCTTAACCAAGTCGGTGTCTTAATCCACCCAAGTGCCCCCAATACTTAGTTCTTTAAAGAAAACCAGTAAAATTCATAAGTCTCTATTAAGTCTGATAAAGAAAAAAGGAGAGGAATGAAATAGAAATGAAAAGGGGATTATCACTACAAATCCTGAAATCATTCACAGCATAATAAAAGAATACCACAAACAATTATATACTAAAAATTCAACAACTTGGGGAAGAAAAAAATGGACAACTTAAAAATCGATTAAACTACCAAAGTTCAAACCAAAATATAGAACCTGAATACTTATAACTATTCAAGAAATTTGTAGTTTACAAGGTCTCAAAAAAGAAATCCCTGGGGCGCCTGGGTGGCGCAGTCGGTTAAGCGTCCGACTTCAGCCAGGTCACGATCTCGCGGTCCGTGAGTTCGAGCCCCGCGTCGGGCTCTGGGCTGATGGCTCAGAGCCTGGAGCCTGTTTCTGATTCTGTGTCTCCCTCTCTCTCTGCCCCTCGCCCGTTCATGCTCTGTCTCTCTCTGTCCCAAAAATAAATAAACGTTGAAAAAAAAAAATTAAAAAAAAAAAAAAAAAAAAAAAAAAAAAAAAAAAAAAAAAAAAAAAAAAAAAAGAAATCCCTAAGCCCAGATAGCTTCACTTGAGAATCTTATTAAACACCGAAAGAAAAACTAACATCAGTTGTACACAATCTTTTCCAGAAACTAGACCCCTCCAAACTCATTGTATCAGGCCAGTATTACCTGGTTACCAAAACCAGACAAAGACACAACAACAAAACAAATAAAAAGAGAGGGAACTACGAGCCATTATCTCTCATGAACTTAGAGGCAAAAACTTTAAACAAAATTAGCAAACAAATCCAACGATGTATAAAAAGATTTATATGCCAGGATTAAGTGGGATTTATGCCAGCTATGCAGGGTTGGTTCAACATTTGAAAAACAATGTCATCCATAGCAACAGGCTGAAGAAGAAAAGTCATGTGACACAACACCCATTTTTGATAAAAACTTTCACCAAGTTAGAATAAGAAAAACAGTTTCAACTTGATAAAGAGCATCTGTAAAAAATCTATAGCTAATATCATACTTCATGGTGAAAGACTGCAGCTTTTCCCTTAAGTTCATGAGCACAAAAACAAAGTCAGCTCTTACCAATCTTACCCAAAACAGTACTAAAAATCTTAGCCACTGCACTGAGGAAGAAAAGGCATAGAGATGGCAAAGGAAGAAATAAAACCATCCCCATTTGTAGATGACATGTTTGTCTACATAGAAAATCCCAAAAAATCTACAAAAAAAACCTCCTAGAACTAATTAGTGAGTTCAGTAAGGTTACAGGATACAAAATCAACACAAAAAATCAATCACATTTCTAATTAAATGTAAATTGGAAGACTCAACCTATTAGGATGTCAATTCTCTCCAAATTTATCTATAGGTTTAATGCTCTTCCTATCAAAACCTCAGTGAGGTTTTGCTACAGATAAGTCTATTCTAAAACTGGTAAGGAAAGGCACAATCTTGACAGAGAAAAATAAAATAGAAACAATAATGCTAAGACTTACTGAAATAGCTATAATAATCAAAAGCATCATATTGGCAGAGGGACAGACACACAGATTGATGGAACAGAAGTGAGGGCCAGAAATAGACCCTGTTATGGACTGAACGGTGCCCCCCCAAAATCAATAGGTTGAGGTCCTAATTCCCAATGACTATATTTAGAGATAGGACCTTTAAAGAGGTAATTAAGGTTAGATGAAGTTGTAACAGTGGAGCTCTGACCCAATAGGACTGGTGTCCTCATAAGAAGAGGAAGAGACACCAAGAATGCACAGAGAGGAAAAAAAATCACGCGAAGATACAAGGAGGAAAGTATCTGCAAACCAAGAGGGCCTGGAGAAACAAAACCTGCTGGTACCTTGATCTTGGACTTCCAACCTCCAGAACTATGAAAAAATCAATCTGTTGTTTAAGCGAGCCATCCATGGTATTTTGTTATGGCAGCCCTGCCTGAGTAAGAACAGACCCACACAATTAGGCCCAGTTTTTTGAACAAGGGCACAAAAACAATTCAATGAAGAAAGGGTAGCCGTTTCAACAAACGGTGCCAGAGCAACTGGGTATCTATTGACAAACACACAGAAAGAACCTCAACCTACACCTCACACTTCATACAAATGAACCCCAAATGGATCATGAATTTAAGTCTAAAACTATACATCATACAGAAAAAAAATAGGGGATGGGTGCCTGTCTGGCTCAGTTGGTGGAGCAGGAGACTCTTGATCTCGGGGCTGTGCATTCGAGCCTTATGTCGGGTGTAGAGATTACTTCAAAATAAAATCTTTTTTTTTTTTTAAATGTTTATTTTTCAGAGAAAGAGAGAGAGACACAGAACATGAGCGGGGGAGGGGCAGAGAGAGAGGGAGATACAGAATCCCAAGCAGGCTCCACACAGGGCTTGAACTCATGAACCACGAGATCATGACCTGAGCCAAAGTTGGACGCTTAACTGACTGAGCCACCCAGGTGCGCCTAAGTTTATCCATTTATTTTGAAAGAGAGACAGAGAGAACCAGCAAGGGAGGGGCAGAAAGAGAGGTAGACAGAGGATCCAAAGCAGCTCTGGGGGCTCAAACTCACGAACTGTGACATCATGACCTGAGCTGAAGTCGGATGCTTAACAGACTGAGCCACCCAGGTGCCTCAAAAATAAAATCGTAAAAAAAGAACAGAAG